CTCGGAGCGTTCCAGAGCGCTCCGAGTGTGTTCCGGAACGCTCTGGAACGGATTGAATCCTCGCCCTAGCCCCGCCCGACACGTCCTGGATGAAGTCGGGGCGGAAGGCGTTCGCCGTTCGCGTCCCCACGCGGGGGCCGTCTCTGGACCCCAGGGCCGACAAAGTAACGACGAGGAGGACGAGGAGGAGGAGGAGGACGAGGAGGAGGAGGAGGAGGAGGACGAGGACGAGGAGGAGGAGGAGGAGGAGGAGGAGGAGGACGAGGAGGGGGACGAGGAGGACGAGGAGGACGAGGAGGGGGGGGAGGACGAGGAGGGCGGGGACGAAGAGCCCGCCTGGGGGCGGAGGCCGGGAGCGGGCCAGCGCACCGACCAGCGCGCCTCTCGCGCGGCCACCTGGGGCATCTGGAGCCGACATGGGGCCGCTTGGGCCGCCGTGGGTGGGGGCCCTCCTGGGTCCTCCTCAGGTCGGCTACACGCAAGAGTGACCCTGGGAAGAGTGACCTTTGGTGCGCGGCTATTGGGGGGACGCGGGGGGGACCAAACTCAGGCGCGCAAGACGCTACCATCGCATTGCAATCGGTGATCGGGGGACCCATTGTGCCCGCACCAAAGGTGACTCCGGCGAAAGGTCACTCTTACGTGTAGTCGATCAGGGCCCGGAGGCCATCTTGGGCGGCACATTCGGGGTGGATTGGAGAGGACGCGCGAGAGGGCACGAGGCCCTTCCGAGGGCCACGCTGCCGGGTGGAACGCAGGAGGGCATGGGTCGCGAGGCACAGGACGCACAGGGGTACCCTTGTTTGCGCAGGGTCGACCTGCGAATCAAACTCGGCTGTAGGAACTGACAAAGAGAGAACACTCTGAATACGGACCTCGATCTTTCCGCCATCCTGGAAGAAAGGGTACATCTCGGGTCGGAACGTTTACACATCTGGTCCACGCACGCGAGGGAGGTCCTGGTAGGTCTGAAGGGCTTGCTGGGGCCGTGGTCACCCCGGGCCGCCCCAAGAGCGCGACAAGGGCATAGGCCAAAGCGTGTCAGGCCCCATGCTGACCCCAAGATGGCCTCAACATGGCTGAGAAATGATGTAACGGTGGTGCCAAGATTGCCCAAGATGGTCCAAGACAGCCCAATGGACTGCACAATTGGGCCAAGATGGCCGAGCAACCTGTCCTCGGATGCTCCCAAGGAAGCTTTCTAATATAAGAGCACTCCTCGCGGCTATGCTTAGTGACTGAATCCTCTGGTGTGCTGTGGTCAGGTCACAAAGGTATCTGCATATGTGCCTGCAGCCGATTATCCAGTCAAGCCATGCGTCGGAGCTGAAGCGAAACTGTGCGATGGACGAGCCAGGCATCTGTGAAAGCGCGCGGACTCGTGGAATGCTCCCAAGGGAGACGACGCGGAAAAGCGCGCGGTTATTCATAGGGTTGGCCTTCCTGCCTCTACGGGCGTCGATGGGCTGGCTTCCCGAGCCCGACAATGCCCCGAGAGCTGCATGGGACCGCATCTCGGCACACCCCTTCTGTTGGCTCCGCAGGCCTCGAGAGGCCTCAAGGGATCTCGTGGGCCCCCATACAGTTGGGGCCCGACCACAAGAAGCCTTCCACAAGAAATCCAGCCCTGAGACCCAGGACGTCCATTGATTTTTGGCGTGGGAACGTCACGATTTCCATAGCAAAACCATCATCGACACCCAAGAAACCCAGGGCACCCTGGAGGCCAGCAGGGTGCGTCTCGGCATGGGCCTCCACTGTAGAATCCATGGACCCCCATGGACCCAGGGACCCATTGACCCCCAAGGATGAAGTCGGGCACGTCCCTCTACAGGCGGACTTCGACGAACAATTAAAAACACTCAAAAAACGATTCAGCCATAGTCAAAAATACTGAAAAATCGTCCCCGGACTATGTTCTACTAGGTTTGAACATCCCTCCTGTAGGGGGGCATGCCCGATTTCACCCAAGGACCCCCATGGACACGTGGACCCCAAAGGACCTCATGGACCCCCCCCGGACCCCACCCAGGGACCGGTGGGCCCCGTGGCCTCCCTCCCTTTGTGCCCCGCACGTGCCCAGATGCCCTCCGCTGGCTCATCGAACCGCCTGCACCTATGGTGGGCTTGCTGTCCACCGCCACCACCAGAAGCAGGAGGGGGAGGGGGTCCTCCTCCTCCTCCTCTTCTTCCTCCTCCTCCTCCTCCACCCGCTTCCCCTCCAACTTATGGTGGTGGTGGTGGAAAACAGGCCCATCAGCCCAGGGGCCGAGGAAAACGGCAACGAGTGGTTCTGACCCTCGTCGGAGCCAGACCCCGCCAGATCTGCGTGCGAGCTTCCGTCGGGGGGCCCGCCGGGACTCCCGCCCCTCGGGCTCGGTGAGGTCCTGCGTGCAGGAGGCACGCGAGAGGGCGGCATCCGCTGGCGCGCACTGTCCACCGGCGAGAAGCCAGCAGCACTCAGATCGGATACGGCAGGTTCGTGCCGTGACGACCCCGGCGTTGGTCTCTGACACCGCGTGGATCATTCAGAGGAGGAGGACCAGTGGAAACCAAAGAGTTATCAACGATGTTGGAATTAACCCTCCCTCCAAGCTCCCTCTTCATAGGCCCTACAACGGTTCATTTCCATTGAGAGAACTGCCTCGTTGGAACACAACAGTTTGAAGGTCCTGAAGCGTGCCAAAACATTGTTCTCGGGATTTCAATGCCACGTCTCAACAACCTGACTGCTGCGTCTTGACGATCCAGGACCGTGCTGGAACCGCTTGTCGATTACCGTTTTGTTCCATATTGACCAATTCTGGACCACTAGGGGCGTTCACTCTTGAACGCTCGCGCCAAGTTCGCGGCCGCGTCGGCACGACACGAAGCTGCCGTACGGTGGGACCTAGGACAGAAGTACATCCATCGAGAGCACGAGATCCTCCGCCTGCCAAAACACCCCAAACCATAAGATCACTCGAGGGTACCCTCCCCCAGGATGCACAAGAACATCCAACAAGCATGAAGAACCTTAGGGCATCCTCCCCGAACTGACCTCGATCATATACCTCGGTCCGACCGTAATTGCAAATGGAAGAAGTGACCGATGTGTTTCTTTCCTGGGTAACAGTCGTTACCCGGGGGGGAGGGGGATTTCGGGCGGGCGGGTAACAGTAACGGCTGAGCATCGTTTAACCGATCCCTATCCCCACTCAAATGGCCTGGGCCCCACTGGCCGGTTTACCCCCCTAGATGGATCCAGGCAGTTTCTGTCAGATTTCGAAGGGTATATCCCCAACTGGGGGATGAGATGGTGGGAGTCTGGATGGGGATGGGGATGGGGATGAGGATCGGTTACACGACACTGAACGGCGGCCGCGGCGTGCACCCGCCAGGGTGCGTCCGCGCCCACTGGCGCACTCATCGCCTGTGTGCACAGCAGCATGTAGGGGGGGGGGGGGGGGGGGGCATCCCCCCCCCCCAGTACGATCGTTGGCGTTGGCCAGGGGGGGGCGGTCAACGGTGGCCCTGCAGCCAGTGCGCACTCACGGGAAAACGAGGGACAGACGAAGCTCTCAAAGCTTGAGCTCGAGGGGAGGGGGAAGGGGGTGCTGGCACGAGGAACGAGCGCTGCCCCGGGGAGGCAGCACGAACGATCGCGACGAAGGTGCGCCCTCCGTCCCAGACGAGAGGTCGGGCAGGGACCGACTCGCCCCTGCCTCCACCTCCCCTCCTGCGTGTCCTCCCCTGTGATACAGGCCCCCGGAAAAAATAGCGCCAGCCCTCATGCCACGTCCATCGGTCCACGCCCCGCCCTTCCCCCGAATGCTCAGCTCAAAATTGGCGGTGGGTCTGATGAGGTGCACCTCGACCGCAATCTCCTCCGCGCGTGCCAACTCCGAATTCGTCTTAGATGCTCGTTCTGGGGACCTTCCAGGGGGCCACTCGCTCCACTCATGCGTCGATGCTGCGTCGAACGCCCGTCGACAAGAGTTGAACTTGAGTCGACGTTGAGTCGAGGCAGGGTCGAACTTGAGTCGACTTTGAGTCGAGGCAGGGTCGAACCAGAGTCGAACAGAGCCGTTAGCTGGGCCCCAGGAAGGTCCCCGAAACGAAGATCATTGAAGTACGAAGGCGCTGAAAGCAGATTGGAACATGGGAATCCAGAAATACCTACTTTCAACGACCGATGGATGTCTAAAAGAGCATGTCTTCTGTTCTCCGCGATGACGACCGTGTAGCTGGCCCGCCTCCCCCAGAGGTGACGTCACGCGTCGTGTGGACGCCCGAGCTGTGCTTCTCGTCATCGGTGGTGCAAACACGGGGTCCTGAGGGATGGGGTCCTGAGGACAAGAAGGGATTCAACCGTAGATTCACCTCGTCTGAGGCTCCTCGTCCTCACGACCCCATCCCTCAGGACCCCACCTTTGAACCACCGACGTTGTTCCTAGCCACTCCCGGACGGCGCCAGCACGAAACGTGACGTTACCGGCTCCCCCCCCCCTACGCCCCCCGCAACGCCAGGTGTGCACCGCCCGAGAAAGCGATGGAAAAAACGCTCTGACCCCTCTGTCGTCACCCAATGCCCTGTGAGGATCGGGGGTCTTCTGACCCGGATCATTGCAGACCCGGGTCAGTCAGGCTTCGCAGAGTGCTGCAGGAGCCTGGAGGGATCTTCTGCAGGATCCTGCACCCACACCCGGGTCAATGCGACCCTGGCCCTGCAGGATCCTACAAGGTCCGGCGCTCTGGCTGACCCCCGTTTGCACTGACACCCGTCTCTCGGGCCCGGAGAAGAGGCCTCATGGCCTCCTCCTCCTCCTCCTCCTCCTCCTCCTCCTCCTCCTCCTCCTCCTCCTCCTCCTCCTCCTCCCCCTGCTCCTCCTCCTGCTCCCCCTGCTCCTCCTGCTCCTCCTCCTGCTCCTCCTCCTCCTGCTCCTCCTCCTCCTGGCGTCCCGTGCGGGGGGAGGGCCCGAAGGGGGAGAACAACAACAAAAAAACGGGGCGGGCGCCACGGTCCCAGACGCGCACGACGCCCCCGAGGTCGGAGGTGGCCACCATGGAGCCGTCGGGGTGCATGGCGGCCGCGTAGGTGGGCCGCGAGTGGCCCTCCTGACAAGGGGGGGGGGGGGGGCAGACCTCCCTTTAGTAAAACGTGGTTTAGTGAAAACAACCTCGGGCCAAACCTGGCGGGCGCGTGCCTGGAAAATAACGGCCGCGGCGCCCTCTCGAGAACCGAAAAAGGACAATTCACTAATCGACGTGTCAGGGCAGGAGGTCTGTCCACCCCCGACTGACACGGGGGAGGGCAGGGGGGGGGGGAGCGGGGAGGCTCGCAGGTTGGATCGGGGAGGGGAGGGCCGCGGAGGATCGGGGGGGGGGATCCAAAAGGGAGGATCGAAGGGGAGGATCGGAGGACGGCCTCGAGGAGGATCGCAGGATCGGAGGAGGGATCGAGGAGGATCGAAGGAGGGATCGAAGGAGGATCGCAGGATCGAAGGAGGGATCGAAGGAGGGATCGAAGGAGGGATCGAGGAGGATCGAAGGGGGGAGCGAGGAGGATCGGAGGGGGGGGGCCGAAGGGAGGATCGAAGGGAAGGATCGAAGGAGAGGATCGAGGGAGGAGAGCGAGGAGGATCCAAGGGGGGGTCGAAGGGAGGGTCAAAAGGAGAGGACCGAAGGAGAGCATCGAGGGGGAGGAGCGAGGAGGAGGGTGCGCGGCGGCCGCTCTGGGGGGGCCACGAGTGGCCTCCCTGGCACGGGGGGCACGGGGGAGGAGCGAGGGGGGATCTCGTGAGGGGCAACGATAGGGGGGGACTGACTTTTTGTAAAAAACAAAAAATGTAATAAACAAAAAAAAAACAAAAAAAAAAAAAAAAAAAAAAAAAAAAAAAACGCCATGAGCATTGACTTTTGGCGCTCCGCGCGGAGTTCTTGGATCTCACCGCGCCGCCCCTGGCGCGCGGAGCGCGCCGGGGGCGGCGCCGGAGGCACCGCCGGGGGGGCCCAGCGCGAATACGAGCAATCCGCGCGGAGCGCCAAAAGTTTATGCTTATGGCGTTTTTTCTTCTTCGAATAGGGGGTGATGCATCGGCCTGGAATCGGCGATCCATCGACGACAGATCGGCGACAGGCCCCCGGAAGGAAATCCGCACGATCCGGGGCAGGCTGGTGCCATCGGGCCCCGTATCGGCGATCAATGGGCGATTGGAGGTCGATGCATCCCCCCTATCTGTGCCCATCCCCCCCAGATTTTGGTCAGAGCGGTTCTGAGAGGAGAGGTGCGGGGAGGGCATCGAGGGTCGAGGAGGATACATGTCAGGAGGCGACTCCTCTGAGAGGCCTTCGTGGGAACGATTGGACGGGCCATTACAGCCGGATTCGCGCAGGTGGAGCCCAGAAATCAACCCGAGTTAAGCTGGAGTATGAGCGGAAATCGGCGAAAGCAGACGTGCTTATGCCTCATATAAGGCCGGCTGTCGGCCACGCAAATACCAGCGCCGTTCTTCGTTTCACTTGCCAGGGGCTTCATCCTAAGATCTGGGGAGCATCGAGGATGGAGTAGGACCGAGGAGGGCCTCCTCCTGCGAGGCGGGGGCGGAGCGGTCATGACCACCACCTGGGAGATCGATCTTCGGGTACGTCGGCAGGCGGTGGATATGGATATGCTTGGCCCCCCAGGGTCCGAATATTCCCGAATCCGCAACGGTCGCCATGGCGGCGATTATGGACAAATCCCCACATCGAACCACCACCATTCTTCTTCCGTGTAAATAACTTCTCCCTGTCTCACCCCGAGGCATGTCTTTAGGGCGGGCGGGGCGTTTCGCCTGACACTTCCTCACCATCTGCGACCCTGAAGCTTGAACATTGACAACAGTTTCACAGATGGGGGGTGGGTCGTTTTCAAATTGGCTCTCGCCTTAACGCCGCCCGCATTCATGTTGGAAAATAAGAAGAGTTTCACGGATTGAGGGCGGCCCGTTTTCAAAATGTGGCTCTCGCCTTAGCGCCGCGCACAGTCGTTTGTCAGAATCTGCAAGAGTTTAACCAAGTGAAGGCGGCCCGTTTTCAGAATGCGGCTCTCGCCTGAGCGCCGCGTACAATCGATTCAACAAGATTGCAAGAGCTTCACGGATTGAGGGCGGTTCCTTGTCAAAACGTTGCTCTCACCAGAGCGCCGCGCGCACTCGTTTGTAAGATGTGCAAGAGCTTCACGGATCCCCATGATCAACAAGATGGTGTTTGGGAAAAACTCAGGGCCATGATGGTACAAGAGTCACGTTGCCTCGCGGTGTTGAAGTCCTGGGGATGGCGTGCTGGCACGATTCAGGATCGTAAGGACGCAACAGTCAGGTTGATCCGCGGCGTTGGAATCCCGAGAACAACGCCTTGGCATGCTTCAGGGTCTTGTATTCAAACAGTTGTCTTCCAACCAGGCAGTTCCCTCAATGGATATGAACCGTTGTAGGGGCCTATGACGAGGGAGCTTGGAAGGAGGGTTGAATCCAACATCGTTGGTGATTCGTGGGTGTACACTGGTCCTCCTCCTCCTCATCATCATCATCCTCTTGCCCCCATTGAGGCCACAACCTGGCCAGAGACATCCAAAACAGATTGTCAAAAACGGTAGGCGCCGTGATCACCAGCCAGGACCGCGAGGACGAGGACAACGAGCGAGTGAGGACTGAGCTGCACCAGACCCCGCGGGTTCCCGTCGAGCACCACCGAGGGCGGGGGGGCAGCATGGCGCAGGCGAACCCGCTGGCCGCGGTGATAGGCGCATGCGGCCGCCCTGCACCCCGCACCCCGCCGGCAGACCCGCTGCCGCAGCGCCAGCGAGGGTGCGGTCGCGCATGTGGTACGCCGAGTCCGGCGATTCCCCGGAACGGCGCGCGAGATATGAGACAGGAGGGTGCTGGAGACGACGAGGATGAGGACGATGGCCAAGTCAAACCCACGCCGCATCGGCGATGCTGTCATGCCCCCTCCCGCCCCAGTCCCCCTCCCGATCAGTCACTACGATCACGTCGGGCATGCCCCCTTACAGGCGGAGTTGGGAGGAACAAGATTAAATAGTCACAAAAAATAAAGAAAAATACCCCCCCCAAAAAAAATCGCCTCCTGACAATTTTAAACTGCTTTTGAACACTCCCCATGTAGAGGGACACGCCGAACTTTAACCCTACAAGCCTTCCCTCTCGCTACAGCAGTCGGGAATCTTCTGACCCGGGTCAATCCAGACCCGAGTCAGTCAAGCCCTGCAGAATCCTGCAAGATCCTGCAAGAGCCTGCACCCAAACCCGGGCCAATGCGAAGGATCCTGCAAGATCCTGCAGGACCCTGCACCCAGACCTGGGTCAACGCGACCCTGGCCCTGCCAGGATCCTGCAAGATCTGGCGTTCTGGCTGACCCCCGTTTGCGCTGACCCCCGTCTGTCGAGCCCAGAGAGGAGGCTTCATGGCCTCCTCCTCCTCCTACTCCTCCTCCTCCTCCTTCCCCCTCCTCCTCCTCCTCCTGACACGTACCCAGGGGGGGGCGGTCAGGCCGATGACGGTCTCAGCCTCGATGAAGCGCTGCTCGCACTTGAGGCACAGCAGCTCGCACGATTCTCTGTGGGACGGGTGCGGGGTGAGAAGAAAGAGTGGTGTACAGGATATGGGAGGCGACGACAAAATGGCAGGCAGCAGGGGACGGGGATTTCAGACCGAGGCGAGTGAGGAGGTCGGGGGAGGGGGAGACATTCAGAATCTCTGCAGTCCAGTCCAGGACTTTGGAGCACTCGAAATAGTGCGGCACGTGGTCACGGCCGCACCTGCAGCCAAATCTACACTGATCCCCGTCCTCTTGAAATCGAGCTGCCGTCGTCCACGCTCCGAAAAGGGATTTAATGTACGAAGATGAAAGTGCTGGTGGCAACTGGACACATGCAGCCCGCACCCGCTCCCAATCAATATCATTAATCTCACTCGCGTGCTGTGGGTACCAATCCTTTAGACGGCGAGCGAGAGAGGACGAGACAGCAGGAGGATGGAGGATGCTCGAGATGGAAGCACACAGCGCGTGCTGAAGTTTTAGCCGAGCTCCTGCATGCTGAGAAGGGGCCCGAAGCACGGCGAGGATCGGGTGGGCCTCCTCCAGCGCTGCTCTACCACACTGCGCCCAAGCCGAGCTCGATGGGAAGCCTCTGGCTGCCTCACGGACATGCTCTACAATGCTGATGTCGGCCCAGAAGGCCGGAGACAATTTGTTCTCACACAGGTATCGGATGGTCCGCTGGGACAGAGCAGCTGCGTGCAGTCGGGCATATACAGCCTCCCAGCCACGGAATGTCCACAGTGCGGCCCTCATGCGAGAAGCAAGGTTGACCGCCAGTCCGCTTCTGAACTTCGGCGCCCCCCAAAGATGTATATTGAAGAAGTCCGTTCGGGCAAAAGAGCAATGGGGGACGCGATATACAGAAGCTAACAGGGCATGTTCTGACTGGGGGAATCTGGGAGGGAGAGGGAGGAACTGACCAACGTAGGAGAGAGTCGTCAGAGCCCTTTTGTCGCACATTGCCGCGGCGACAGCAGTGGGAGGAGAGGCAGCAGCAATGGCTTGCACACGCAGCGAGTGCTTAGCTCGGGGCGCGATCCAAGACTGCCAGCGGACTTCAGGTCCAAGGATCAGACCGAGGTATTTCAGGGACGGGGAAAGCTGAAACTCGGCCCAGGCTGGGATCACACGAGCGATCCAGTCTCTGTATTTCTGGGCCAGGGTCTGGGTAAAGGGACCCGCCAGAGGAGTCAGAAAGCACTTACTAGCTTTTAAATGAAGGGCCGCAAAGGCCGCCGCGAATTGGAACATTTTGAAAAGGGTTCTCAACCCCGCTAAGACGTACACCACTGCTCCGAGGTCGTCAGCACACGCACGGGCCGCGCCAGTCGCCAGTCGCCTGTGCGTTTTGGAGCTCTTCGTCGAACCAGCTGCTGGAACGACTCTCTCTTCAAAGGTGCCCTCGAGCAGGGCAAGAAAGGGGTGGGAAGCGAGGGCGCACAGGGCGCCGCTGCCTGGGCAGCCTTGCACTATACCCGCGAGGATGTGAAAGAGCGGCAGCAGTACATGT